TACATTTGGACGGCTTATTTTCATATCATTATCAAGTGTTCTCTATTGATTTAAACACAAAATGAATGGCACAAAGTGGAATAAATTCAGTTGAGTGCTAATAAACTTCATGTTTGACATGGTTTTTGCGTATCACTGTATGTTGAAAAATTTATGATTTTAGATTAGAATTTTGCAATATCTTTATGATGTTGAGGTCTGGTGTACTTAAAATGATGGATTGCCTTTTGTGCTATTTTTGTTTTTTGCATTTTGTAACCCAAGTTCTAGAAATACTTTATAAAAAGCATTTGCTTAGATCAGAAATTGATGTAAATGTCTCGTTTCTAGTCACTTTAACTTTTGTCAAGACTTCTGGTAATCTAAAGAATAATCCCTGACATACTTTTTAATTTTTCAAACATTCTTAAATAATAAAACATAGGTGTTTGAATTTATGCAGTTTTTAAAGAACTGTAACATTTTAGTACAAGTTTCCAGGTTTCATTTCAGTACAATTTGTCTTTTGATACAAGATGACACATTTTCATTACTCTCAATCAGGTATATAGGAATTTTTAAAGTGAAGTGAGCCATTTATATGCAATTTTTCGCCACCATATCTATGAATAAATAATGGATGAAACCAACTAAAACGTCCTTGTGGGTTGGCAAATATGGATTTCATTGACAAAGTCAAGAATCAAAGTTAGCAGTTGTCATTGTGAATAAAACGCAGAGTATCATTATGGTGATTAGAATTTTGTTTGAATTCCACCTTAGAATGAAGCAGCAGAGCTTGAGCTCTGTAGAGCAGAACGGCCTTAATCTCCTTGTGCTGGTGTAGCTGGCAGTATAAACCGCATTAATCAGCGAGTAGGTGCCTGAGATAAGAAGTGAAAAACTAGGTCACTGCAGCAATGGGCAATTTGCATAACATATGGCCGTGTGTTTATTTCAGGCTCTAGCTGTTTGATGTCCAAATACATTTGTAGAGTGGCGATAAAAGGTTCCCCAATGTTTAAACCCCTAAGTGCACGTCACAAAATGCCAGTTTAATTCAAGGAACATTGTCAAGGCTAGGGTTGAGAAGGAGTGGGTCATTCTGCAATCACTGGGTAATTGCGATTGGAAATGTGAAAAGCACCTTGTGCTGTTAACCCTTTGTTGCCGTAGTGCTGGTAGTTTGTGTGTGTTTTTGCTGGGTTGACGAGCTTAGCTAGCCAGCTAGCTTGGAGGGCTGCATACACATTAGCAACCAGTGGCCAGCAGTATTAAGCTCGCTGACTCCTTTGAAAACTAGACATCAAAACTGAGCTCTCCAGTCAGTCAATCACTTCAGTAGTGCCAGCACTTACAAGCAGGCAGTGTTAAGGGTGACCTGTGTTAAGTATGAGTCTCTCTCTTGTTATCACCCTGTTGTTCATATTGCCACAGTCAACTGTCAAAGACACGGAATTTGGTCTGACATTTCCCCTTTATTTCAGGGTATTTGTGAGCATATCCTCTTGGTTTTGGCTTATAAATCTCCTTATCTGCCTTTTTTCAGATAGGACCTGTACACTTAATATAGAGCCAAAGCTGTGATCCTGTTGGTGCCGGTGTTGTTGGGACATCCTAAGATCGTTGCATAAGGACACACACACACACACATGGAAACGTGACCAGGGGGAACACATGTGCAGGATATTTTCACTGGGTCCCTGTGATATCACACATAAACCTGAACCCCCCCTCGTGGATCATTCCCAGTCCACTGACGCTGAATTAAGACAGAACTTGTGTGACAGAGCTTTGAAATAGAGGGTAAGGTTGGAATGGGCTGTTTGAATATAGAAGTGGACGTTTTTTTTTATCTGATGACTATACTTGTATACTTTTTATTCCCATGCGTTTTTATTTCATTTTATTTATCTTTAGCAGCAGAGTTTATGCCAGAGTTAATGCTAAGTTTAATCAGGGAATAGCAGTGATACTGTAGCTCAAATGACCATAAAAAGTAATGCAGTATGAGCCTATATTGTACACTTAATTAGTTATATTTTAAGATTTAATACAAATGACTAAACCCTTGCATTTTAAATATGAGGAGGTGGAGTGGGGGGGCGTATTAGGAGTTAACATTAATATGAAGTTGGTTTCGCAATCTCTGTACCACAAAAAAAAAGGTCATGATTAAGAGATGTCAGCTAGGGACCTCAAAAAGTTGAGCTGAAGTAAAAAATCCTAATGGTTGATAATATTCGGCATTAACACAGTAATGTTGGCCCCAACAGCAGGCTACCACTAGACACAACCATATGATATAGATCAGATATGCTGTCTGGTTTAAACTGCAGAATATTATCATGTTCAGAGCCTTGGGGCAGTTTCTTGACTCAGACTGGGCAGACATGTATTAAGAATATTAAGAATATTGGAATTCACTACAAATGATGTTAGCCATGTTATACCAGCAAAATGGGAAGTAACAAGTCTATGGCTACTTGTAGTTTGATTATGGATAATTACATATTTTATAACCTTCTGAGGCAGTTGATCAGCAGATTAAGGGTGCTTTCAGAACAGATGATCCATGGAATAACTGCTCCATGGATCAAATATGGCTGACTCAACTTGAAAGCGATGCAACTTATCCCCTAATGGTTTCCCTGCCTTTTACATAATCCCCTTAAAAGACACTGAATAGATTCCCCGTGGGGATCACGCAACAAGCTTTCAAGTGGGTCGGCCATATTTGATCTACGGATCTGGTAGTCCGCTGTTCTAGAGGGCTCTAGGCCTCAGATTAACTTTGGTTGTGAAAGCTGCCCAATGATTTTGTCTTGTCAGCCATGGCTTAGTCTTATTTTAAGCAATTTATGATTGGCTTTGATCCACCATGGCCTAAACAGCATTAAACTAACTTGTGGAGGGTTTGTCAAAGGCCCCATTCAGAAAAGGGGACTAACTAGTCCGAGGATCAAATATGGTGACCCACTACAAAGCTTGCTGTCTCATCCTCTAACAGACACTAAATAGATATCCCATGGGGAAGTATTGAAGTAGGTCGGCCATATTTGACCTTCGGACTAGTTAGTCCCCTAATTTGAATGGGGCCAAAGGGAGTAATCTCCCTTGCAGAACCCAATGGCCCGAACCCAGCTTCTCTAAACCTACGGGCACAGCTGTATTGCTGAGATATATAAAGCCAGATTTAAAGAGGTTTATGGAGTCAGTTGCTGTGAGAATATAGCCCCATTCACACGTACATGGTTAATCGAGATTAAGGGAATCGCGATTCTAACGCGCTTAGCTAAATTCACTTTTTTGCGTTCAGACATGTAAAAACGAAATCGCGATTTACCTTGCTAGATCTGGTAATTGCAACTGTGCTCGCTAGGGGAGTCACGGTATATCCTGTTGATCATGCGCAGTAGCTGCCTTCAAGACCACGCTTTCGGTGCGTATGGTGTTATTTTCTGTTTAATATTCTCATCGGCCCAAATATTTGTTTATGCTGTCACTGAGTTTTCAGACCATACTTCCTCTTGGCCATTTTGCTGACTGCGAAGAAACTTGAAATTGGGTGGACAGTTTGTTTTCTTTCACTTTCCAGTCGGCGAATAGCTGTATTTAGCTAATGTTTCGTTTCAATTTATACCTGACATGAAATAAAATTTATTGTATTGTATTGTATTGTACTTTCGATAGAAACTATGCACGCGCCTTTAGTCCTCAACTTCCGGTGTTAACATCGATCCCGTTCTCACTAGGAAATTTTATATCGCGATTTAAGTTTACATCGATAGAATCCACCTCTCGAGTAGGATTAATTTGAATCGCGATTTGGCGTCTCTACTGCGTTCACATTAGAAGCTTTACATCGATAGAATCGCGATTTGGCACTAATCGCGATTGAAAGTGTCTCGTGTGAATGGGGTTTATGTCTTATGTCCAAAATCAAGATCTTGGTCTCCATAGAATGTCTGCAGCATTGTTGTCTAACACTGCAGCAGTCAGCTATTGAACAGTTTAGGGTTAGCTTAGTGCTTCTTGCTAAAGATTGAATAGCTTGCTATATGGGTATGGGATACAGAGGGCATATAAAAATTGAATGGTTTGTCTTTGCAGCTGGGAGGGGTAGGAAAGCAATGTTTGCCTTATATTATATTTTTAGAACTAATTTCATCAGTTAGAATTATTAAAGAGTTAAATCTTTTGATGGTTACACTGGTGCTGAAACATTGTCACATTCAAAACATACGCCTTAATGTAATGAACTATTGATTCTCATTACTTATTTACTATTTGGGCAGGACTGCACATTGTGTGTTTGCTCCTCCCACGTAAGAAGCAATATTTATTTCACACGTAGCTGAGCCTTAATTTATGACAAAGCACTTAGTGCTCTGGTAGTTGTCGCAGGAAAAAAAAAAACATCTCGTAAAACTAGTTTTAGACCAGGAAATTAACAATAAAAAAGCTTATCATCCACTCCTCCCTGCTGAAAATTATACCCAATATCTTTTTGTCAAATTTTCAAAAAAGTTGGATTCGAATAAATATTAAAGAATGTCTGAAATGATGAGTAATAGGAACCCATAAGTCATCAGTATGACTGAAAGTAAATGTGATAGATATTCGTTCTGCAGAAATGCTCCCTGCCCAGACTTGCTACAAGCATACTTAGCTATATATTACATTTGTAGTAGATGCACTGTTCTGCTGTTATCTTAGAAAGAGTATAGCAATTTACATTGTTAATGCGTGTTTTCTTTTTTTAATCTGTTTATGATTGCACTTTGGAAAACATTTATAGCAAGATATATGTGAGTGCCATTTAACAGAGTGAAACTATTAGCATCAAGACTGCCGGGATAAAACCCACTTTTCCGTCTTCATGATACACGCTTCCTTTTATTCTCAAAATAAGTCCTGGAAAATTGTTCTGAAAATAGCTATAACTTCTGTGTTCATTTACAGTAGACCAGCCAGGGAAAGTTACCGAGAAGAAATAAGAATGAGCGTTCTTACGATACACTGACCCTACTGGAAACTAACTGCAGCTGTAGCAGCGCTATGAATGGAATTATGGCGGCTGAAAGTGTGACGTCCTCCCCAGTGCCGAGAAAGGTGGGTGTTGGTCTCTATTGAATGGTCTGCTAATCTACCAGTGATTTAACTGCGCGGGAACTTTGTGATGATTCTGATGTTTTATCGAGTTTTTCCACAATTTTAGGACATATTCAGATCAAGATGATCCGCGAACAAACAGTTTGCGGATCGTATATGGTCGACCCACTTGATAGCTTGCCGCATAATTCACTAAAAGACACTGAATTGATTCTCTGAGGGGCTCATGCAGTAACCGTATTTTGAAGTTATTATAATATAACAAAAATATCAAAATATTCTAGCACATTTTTTATCAAAAAGGCACTGTTGCTGGAAACTTTTCATATAAATTTATGACAGATGAAAATGTATGAAATGGTTATATTTTGAAGCTTCAGATGTCTTTACTTTTCATGTCTGTCTTATACTGTATGTATGCAATATGTTCGTCTGCTAATATCACTTTCCCTAAATGTCGTTACATAGTTCATCTTCTCTCATGTGTTATTATAACACAGTTCATAATATGATAATATCACCAGCCAAAGGAGTATCTAAAGGCCACAGTATCATTTCACTCAGCAAGTAACTGTGCCATAAAAAAAAGTATGACTCATGATGATATGCTATATTCCATGCAAACAGCAGTTTGCTCTGAGGTCAAATCCCCCCCCCCCCGCCCCTGTCTTTAGCCAAACCACTGCATGTTGAGCAGGCTATATCACATCTGTCTGCCCCCACTCTCCTACAATATACCAGTCTTGCTGAGCTATGCCATGAACAGAATACGAAATAAGGGAGAACAGAAAAAGGGGAGAATGATAACCTCAGCTATTACCAAATAAGATCACGAAGCCGGTTATGACTGTCTGGATTTTGGGGATTTCGCGTGCACCGAATGACTTCACAGCTTATGGCCTTGGACTGCTTGGCCTGCATATAAATTGGGAGAATGCCTAGCAGCTTCATGTCAGTGTAGATAATTAAACAAATTTTGCATTAATATAGACCTCCGCCCTTTATGGTTAATCGTAGGAATGCCTGGTTCACATAACAGAGGACAAACTTAAATTTTGAGAAGCTATTGTATAATTGAGTCCTCTGTTTAACCTAAAAATGTCGACGCAGCTCCACATTGAGTTATATAGAAAAAATTTATGTCCTGTTATGAATTTATGTCCTTGATAGGAAGTTATTCTAAAGTCCCAAAATTCCAACTGTCCTTGAAACAGAACAAAACAACCTTAAATTATTAATTGCTTCCTTGAGAAAATCTGAAGCTGGTGTAAATAAAGAACAAAGTGCATAGTCATTAGAGGAGATTTTGGTTGTGGTGAAGTCTTGGTTTTGCCTTGTTGCCTATAATATAATTATATTAATACAAGGTGTGTGGAATGTTTGATCTAGGTTTTGCAAGGAGGATTGATGAAACGAGTTCCCAGGTATGATAAATTTGTCTGCTGTCTCTTGTGTATATGTATGTGTTTCCACATTAGACAGTCAAACCAGTCTGTTTAAAGCTGCACATATTGTGCAGAAATTCCCAAAGCCTCCTCGCGTGTTGAATAGACAAAGCAATAAGGAAGTAACTTGTTCTGGTGATCCTGCCAAGGTTTATTATTATGATTATTACTACTACTATTGATGAATAAATCTCTTGTTGCAACCGCACAGGGCGAGAGAGAGAAGAGAGATCTGGTTTGTCAGGAGATGGTGCAGTGTGCAGAAGCCTTTGATATCTGGTGCACTGGTAGTGATAGCGTATATGTAGTCTATCATTTGGGACGCTAAATATGGCAGGTGCTTGCCTTCAGTGCATTCACATTAGACATTTAGATTAGGTCACAGTTGATCTGAATAATAAAGGTCTTAGTGTACCTGAAATGGAATGATAAAGGACAGGGCCCATATTTATGATAAACTTGGAGGCGCAGCAGGTGTTTTTCCATGGATGAATTCGCATGACCACGATGTTGTAATCAGTCGTGCGGGAGATAAAATGATTGGTATTGATATCAGTGCTAGTTGAGTATATAAAGGTCACATGCAAGGACTGATGACATGTGAACCTCTGCTGTGTGTGTCCTGCTGGTCTAATTTTATCTGCTGATGCGTTCAGCTCCTTTTTTTGCCAAAGGCTGCTTTGTGCCCTTTTTCATACAGACTATTAGTAGGTAAGAGAATGACTTTAAAGAGAGCCCCCTCACTTCACATGGCCATTTTTGTAAGGTTAACTTTGATTGGTCCAAACAGTCCGAGGTAAAGTTGTGAATGGGAGCACATGCATGTTCGCACACACACGCACGCACGCACCCTGTTAGAACCAGGCTAAGGCTGTATTCCCAGAGCTTTTAGATCGATCTATCCCCGCGGGGAGTCTCACTAGTTTACTGTCAGATAATCCGGCTTAAATGTCCGTCCCGCCTACTACAAGCTGTAAGGGGGTAATTAACTTTCGTGTCCGCTCGGCTAACAGCTATTTAGCGTGAACCCCCAGGGAGTTAGGTCGATCTAAAGTAGATTGATCTAATCTCTGGAAATGGGGTTTAAGTGTTTTGATATCTGTACATACGACAAACGAAAAAGGCCTGAAACTAGCTTTAAGAAGTAGACAGTTTGATTGCAATTAAAATATCTGGGTCAAGTTAAGGCGTGTGGGTTTTGGATAATCCTGGAGTCTGTAACCGTTTAGTGGGAGTTTTCTCTGAAAAATTTTAGTTGAAAGTTTGTCTAAATGTACCTTCTACAGGGGCAACAGTAACAATTAAAGAAGTAGTCCTCTTAGGGTTCTTTCTTATTCGCTGCAAAGCAGGATTAACATTCTTCTTAAAGTTCTCTATATGCTCTGGGTTGGAAAAAAATTTTTGGTCTGAAATGAAAGCCCCATACAGGCCTTCCCAACTACCAGACTCGGCACCTACGGGTCCAGAATAAACCGGTATATCTGATCACACTACCCGTTTTCAAGGTGTGTGTCAGATCGCATAAAAGAGTATCATACCCTATCACAAATTCTGTAAGCCTACCTGTCATCCGGGTATCGCGCCTCGTTTTCGTCAAGTAGGAGTCGTATGAATACAACAGACGACTCCCTCAATCAGGGGGTGGAAACGCGCTACTTATATGATTAAGACGAGCCTAGCCGTCAGTACCGGTTATTGTTTTGTGACCTTGAGGAGCAATTAGGTTTGGTCGTTGCGGCACGCATGAACAGTAGTTGAACTACCACACCTGGGTCTTTTGTTTTTGACAACTGTTCACTCGTCATCGAGGCGCTTGTTCAAGACTACAGGCTGATATCTACTAGTACTACCAGTGGCTTCATTAGTAACGTTCCCACAATACTTAAGTTTTCTGTCCGTGCGTACAAACCCTGAAAAAGGACAGCCTCGCTGACGAGAACAATGGACGTTTCTCACCCCTCTCTAGGATTACCCCTGCCCTCAATCTCGTCCATCCCGGTAGTCATGAAAATATTTAACCCCCGACAGAATATGCTTCCGCTATCAAAATTAGGTCTACTTTTCTAAATTAATATATAAGTTTGCAAGTTCTTATTTACAAAACATCATTGGCTATGTCCGAACCTAAATTTTATGTCAGATTTTAGCATAAACAGAGAAAATTGCAGCAGCGCATGAATCTAGATGAGATGCACTACTTTCCAACCCCGCTTAGGATCATTGCTATCACATCGCGCACCAGGCAAAATCGGTGTTGTGGCTGATACTCTGTAATGCGATCTGACACACACCTTGTAAACGGGCAGTGTGGTCTGATAAACCGGTTTATACTGGACCCGTAGGTGCCGAGTCTGGTAGTTGGGAAGGCCTGCCATACCAACATTTGAGTCCAGTCCCATTGTGAATCTAACCCCTGCTGACCTTATGTGCTGAGTATTACATAATGGGCCCTTATCTCTGCATTATAAATGGCCACTGACCCCGGGTCACTGATTGTCCAGCCAGGACACTTGAATCTGAATTTTTGATCATGCTCTAGAGCTCTTATGATCAAGTGATGAAGAAATATAGTTCATGTAACTAATATTGCCACATCTGTATATCTCTCAAGATTTATTTGCTAACCCATATTTCTGATGTGTAAAAGACGAGGCTTTATCAGGCAGGTTTACAGAATCTGGTATAAACCAAATCAGACTGATCAGGGTCGCCCCTAGGCCTCCTTATGAAGGGTGGCTTAGCCAAAGAAAATGACGATCTTGGTGCAAAGTTGGATCACGTGCAATTGTGTAAACCAGCCTTTTTATCTTTTGGTCTGGCTATTAACCATCCAGTAGTATATTTGTTTGAATGTAGAAGAAGGGATACACAACCAATATCTCTCTTCCCCCCCCCCCCCCTCCCATGCAGTCCCTTCCTCTATTTAAATGCAGTGCACATGCATTGACATGTGCGTTGGGTCTTAATTGCTTTCTCACTATAGATTTCGCAACTTGACAAATGCTTTGCATGACAAGCGAAAAACATCTTGAGTATCCCCATTGTTTCATAAAATGGAAAAAAAAGATTTTCGTGACTTCATAAAAGTAAATTTACAACTTCCTCAAAAACACTTTTGCAGTCTTTGTGGAAATGCATTAAGTAAGTTTTGGAGCACTTAGATAGTCGATTTTTTCAGCTCAGTGAAAAACAATTGAACCAAGTTACTTCCAATTGTGATTTCAACTGTTGTTCCCTGATTTCAAATAAGAAAAATCTATCATGCCTGCTGAAATAAAAACGTGTGGCAGACTTGCATTGCGGCAAGATCTGTAAAAAGGGCATCTAAGGTAATATCAGTAATTTGTCTGGGAGGTATCGGGAGACTAAGGAAAACACATTAAATGTTATAAAGAAATTTTTGTTCAGATCCGTTTGGGGGGGCATGGAAGGGTAGCACTATCAGGAAATGCTTAAGACCAGGTTGCTATGAGTTGAATTAACCTGCATTGCTTGTTTATTGAAATTTTCCTGCCATAGCCTTAATAAAAACTAGCCCAGAAATGAATATATAAA